CAAGAAATTTGGAAGACAGCTACCTGGCCAACCAACTGAAATAAATCCATATTTGTACCCATTCCAAAGAAAGGTGATCCAGCAGAATGCAGAAATTATTGAACAATATCAGTATTACACACAAGTAAAATTTTGCTGAAGATCATTTCAAAGGCAGTTGCAGCAGTACATCATCAGGAAACTGCCAGAAATTCAAGCCGGATTCAGAAGAGGATGTGGAACCAGGGATATCATTGCTGATGTCTGATGGATCCTGGCTGAAAGCAGAGAATACCAGAAAGAAGCATACCTGTGTTTTATTGACGATGCAAAGGCATTCAACTGTGTGGATAACAAATTATGGATAACATTGCCAACTGGACCAAGCAACATCATGATAAAGAGAGAAAAGATTGAAGTTGTAAAGGATTCCATTTTACTTGGATCCACAATCAACACCCATGGAAGCAGCAGTCAAGAAATCAAATGACATATTACATTGGGCAAATCTGATACACAAGACATCTTTAAAGTGTTAAAAAGCAAAGATGTCACTTTGAGGACTAAGGTGCGCCTGACCCAAGCCATTGTGTTTTCAATTGCGTTATATGCATATGAAAGCTGGACAGTGAATAAGGAAGACTGAAGAAGAATTGATGCCTTTTAATTATGGTGTTGGTGAAGAATATTGAATATATCATGGGCTGCCAGGAGAACAGACAAATCTGTTTTGGAACAAGTACAGCCAAAATGCTCCTTAGAAGCGAAGATGGCGAGACTTCGTCTCACATACTTTGGGCATGATATTAGGAGGGACCAGTCGCTGGAAAATGACATCATGCTTGGTAAGGTAGAGGGTCAGCGAAAAAGAGGAAGACCCTCGATGAAATGGATTGACACAGTGGCTGCAACAATGGGCTCAAACATAGTAAAGATGTAAGGCTGGTGCAAGACTGGGCAGTGTTTTGTTCTGTTGTACACGGGGTCGCTGTGAGTAGGAACCAACTCAAGAGCATCTAACAACTGTATGATTCCATCTATACAAAATCATAGAAAATGCAAAAGATATCTATAGTGACAGAAGGTTGTTTGGAGACAGGCAGGAAAGGATAAGGAGAGATTACAAAGCAGCATGAGGAGTCTTTTGGGAGTGATGGATATATTCATTCTCTTGATTGTGGTTACGGTCCAATGGGTGTGTGTCAAAACTTATACAGTTGTACTATTAAATGTATATAGTTAATTTTATGTCAATTATAGCTCAATAAAGCTATTAAACACAGGACTGGCTGATGGGTTCGACTTGGGTGATAGAGAAATATAGAGGTCCAGATCAAGGATGGTTTGTAAGTTTTTGTCTTGAGCACAAAAGACAGAAGTTGCCATTTGCCAAGATAGAGAAGACTGAAACGAGCAGATCTGAGGGGGAAAATAAAGAGTTTGATTTTGAACATATTAAGTTCGAGGTGCCTGTTAGGCACACCCTAAGATTCTGAAACAAATAAACACATAGTAGAAAAGAACTGAAGAAATCCTAATGGCACTACTACTTGGATGGAGAGTTCCTCTCCATGACCTTATCCATTGTACAGTCTCATCTGAACTTTGCTGGACCAATGGGACATCTCATGGCCTCTGCAGACAAATAATCTGTGGGCATCTCTTGCCCATCTTTTCTTCTGTTCAGTATTATGGATTTCATGGACAAGCCATATTTTTTCCTTTTGTTTTTACTCCACTTTTAATGAATTCCATTAGTTTGGGAACCAAGTGATAGTTTTGTTTGGGATTCAAGGTTGGTGAATAGCCATAGCTGTAGTGAGAAGCCGCCATCTATAGACAGATGCAAACTGTTTCCCATCAGGGCCAGAGCATTGCTGCCCTTTGCTCTTGCGCTGACTTGAAGGTTGTGTCCGTTTTTTTTTTTAACTGCACATGTAGATAATTCAGTTATACTCATTAAAAAAAACCAAACCCGTTGCCATCAAATTGATTCCAACTCATAGTGACCTTATAAGACAGAGTAGAACTGCCCCATAGGGTTTCCAGGGAGCGGTTGGTAGATTCAAACTGCCGACCTTTTGGTTAGCAGCCATAACTCTTAACCACTGTGCCACTAGAGCTCCAAATCAGTTATATTATGATTTAAATGGTATCCCTCGGTGAATCAAATGGTTAAGCACTTGACTACTAGCCATAATGTTGGTGGTTCGAACCCACCCTGAGGCACCTCAGAAGAAAGTTCTGGTTATCTGCTTCTAAGTTCTGGTTATCTGCTTCTGAAAGGTACAGCCTTGAAAATCTTACGGAGCAGTTCTACTCTGCACACATGGAGTCACCATGAGTTGGAATTGACTTGACAGCAACCAACAACAAGATGATTTAAACAAGATTTTGCTTCCCTAGTTAGAAAGTACAAAAACCACTTGTTGCTTTATGGAGGTTTTTACCCAGTTGTGATTAAAAGGGGGCAGGGAGTAGTTACCTGTGTTTGAATCTTAGCTGCATCACTCACTAAGTGTGTGACGCCTCAATTTACTCATACCTAAAATAGGGACAGTAATAGGGCCTGCTATTGTGAGGTACTATTGTGTGAGGGGAGTCCCTGGGTAGTGCAAATGGTTAATGCACTTGGCTGCTAACTGAAAATTTGGAGGTTTGAGCCCACCCAGAGGTGACTCGGAAGAAAATCCTGGCAATCTACTTCTGAAAAATCAGCCATTGAAAACCCTGTGGCACACGTGGCACACGTCGACTCCATGGCAACTGGTTTTATTGTGTGAGGACTAACTGATTTGATACATATAAAGATCTTGGAATAGCATCTGGGCATAAAGAAAGCACTCAATAAAAGTTATGAGATGTCATCGAGTGCACACCTGACCATATGCACAACAGGATCAGACTGTCATCTGGCCAGGATCTCCTGGACCTCACAGTGGCTGAAATACATAGGGTTTTTTTTTTTTTTTTTTGACACATCGACTGATTTTTGGAAGTAGATCGCCAGGCCTTTCTTTCTAGTCCTTCATCTGGAATCTCCACTGAAACTTGTTCAGCATCATAGCAATACACTAGCCTCCACAGACGGAGGAGTGGTGGCTGTGCTTGAGGTGCACTGGACGGTAACTGAGATCGGGTCTCCTGCACGGAAGGTGATAATTCTACCACTGAACCAGCACTGCCCTCCAATAAATGTTCTTGTTCGTTGCCCTGGAGTGATTCCAATTCATCGTGACCCCAAGTGTGCAAAGTAGAATTGCACTCCATAGGGTTTTCAAGGCTGTGACCTTTTGGAAGCAGATCATCAGGCCTTACTTCTGAGGCGTCTCTGGGTGTGTTTGAAATGCCACCTTTTGGTTAGGATCTCAAAGTTTAACCATTTGCACACCCATCGCCTTTTCCTACTCTGACACAGATTTGGTCGTTTTTGTTGGTTGATTTCTACGAAACTGTGGGCTTCTTTAGAGGAGGGCCAGAATATTTTATCTTTTGACCTCTTTCCACCCACCCCCACCTTTGTCCAGTATCTAGCATAAGATGGAAGCGCAGCAAATTTGTGTTGAATTAAATTACTTTTTTCCTTAATGATAAAGACCCAGGAATTTCAAGATCTAAGCTGGGGTGTGGGGGGGGGGAGGGAGAAATGAGGGGGTATTGGCCACCTGCACCTCCAAAGCTGAGATAAAGGAGGGGAGGAATGTGGTGGGAGTATCGGCCGCCTCCACCCCCAAAGCTCAAATAAAGGCCAAGCAAGCCCCTGGCTCTAACTTAACATCCCCAATCCGCTAGTCCCCCCCCCCGCCCCTTTCCTAATTAGAGGTCATCTGGGGGGACGGGAGTCCCAAGGAACCGGGAGGAGCCTGGAGCCAGAGACTGACAGTGGCAAACGGTGGGTGGGGGACTTGGTAGTTCAGCAAAGGAGGTACCAAACCACGAAGGGGTTGCGGGGGTGAGCTGGTTTGGGATGAACCACCAATCAAACGCTGCGACAGGGTTCCAGAAAGGACCTATAGTTGGGACGGCGCGGGGTTGGGGTATTCAAGCGTGCTGCGAATGGAATCGCGCGGAAGGTCGAGAGTGGAGGGACCCGGCAAAGGCAGGCGATTGGGCGAGGTAGAGGCTATAGAGTGCCGGTTGCCAAGGCAGCGACCAGAGGAGAAGGCCTTGGGCGGACCAAGGGAGCTCCCGTTGCGCCTCCTCGAGGGCCCCCTCATCCTCTCCGTGAGACCCTGCTGACGTGTCAGTGGGGAGCCCTTTCTAAGGCGACGGTCCGCCCGCCCCTCCCCACCGCCCCGCGCTCCGCCCCCTGCACCGCCTCCCGCGTCCACCCGGGCCTCCTCCGCGTCACCGGCTTCCGAGTTGACCACAACATGGCTGCGGCGCCGGGGCTGCTCATTTGGCTGCTCCTGTTCGGGCCGCCCTGGCGGGCGCTGGGTCAAGCAGACTCCAGCCCGGGCCGGCGCTTCTCGGAGCACAAGCTGTGCGCGGATGAGGAATGCAGCAGTGAGTGCGCCGCCGGGCGGCCGGCGGGCGGGCGCGGCCCCGGGGTCTCTGCGGCGCCGCTAGCCTAGGGGCTCGGCAGCCCGGCGGGCGGGGCTGGGGGGTCGCTAGCCGCGAGTGCCGAGAGCGGAAGTGGGCGAGCCGCGGGTGCCTGCGCTTCTCGCCTCGGCCTCTGCCGGCCCCCGGGCCGGGCGGTCCTGACTCGGCGGGGGCCTGCAGCACCCACTTGTTGCCAGCGTTTTATGTTTCCTTTGCTGACTGAGGCGGGGATCGGGGTGGCCCCCGGTCGCCCCCTACCCTGTCCTACAGGGATAGGAGAGGAGATGGGGCTGCGCGCCGCGTGCCCTGGGCTTCCCACGCCGCAACCCAGAGCTTTGCTGCCCCCGCTGCGGGGACCTCGGTCGGTGCAATTGCGAGGGCAGATGCGCTAAGGGCTGGTGGGCGCATTTCTAGTGGCAGATTGATGGTGAGGATCGGAAAAGGTGCACTGGCGCTGTCCCTGTGCCCTCTGCTTTACTGGCATTTTGGGCTCCTGCCGTTTGAACAGCGATTAGAGTTTAGATTTGGGACGAGCCCGGAGTCCACGCACGCAGTGTATTTGAAGGTCTCCGCCCCGACTCTGCCTCAATCCTGTCATTTCTGTGCATGGAAGTCTTCTTGCAAACTGTCAGGGCAGCAGGAAGGCCAAAATCTCGCTCTTCAAAGAGGCGGAGGATCTGTATCGGCCACCAGGGATAGGCAGCCGCCTCTTCTGTGTACAGGAAACGGAATTGTCCCCCGTCTCCGATTGCGGGCAGTGTGGAGGGCAGAGATCTTCAGACTCAGATGAAGAGGGTTAGCAAAGTAATAGTAATAAATACTCCAAGGATCTTATATGCCAGACCAGCTTTGGCCTTAGTCACTTGTGTTGGAATCCCTTCCTATGTGTTTGCTGGACCAGGAAACTTATTGACAGCCGCCGCAGAAATGGTGGTTCATAAATTGTAAGCAATACATATAGAAAAGTATTCATTCTGAAAAGGCCAAGAAGCCTACAGTTTACTACTTATGTTCAAATTGGTGTTATTCAAAACAAATTTCCTAAGTGGAAGAGTTCCTATCACTACCCCACCATTAAAGAAAAGGTGATCTGTAATTTGTGTGAAGCCGTTCTTGGAGGCTACCCTAGGGCTTGTGTAAATACACACACTAAAAGCAGCACAACTTCCACGACTGCTTCTTCCTTCCGTTTTCTCAGCGCAAAACCAGGCTGTTCCCAACAAGCGGGACTGAATATGGCAAAATGTTTGCTATCCTTTGCTTTCCAGCGCTCGCCTACCTGGGTTCCTCAGTATAAGTTACCTGGAGATTCACGTCACTGATGAGGCCTCAGTATAAACAAATGGTGTTGGAAGGGCCCATAGTTGTACCGTAACTTGAGAAATGATGTATGTACAAACAGATGTGACCGAACAGGACAGGCAACAGCAGGAGCAGGGCCTGGGTCTGTGCTGTGTTGTATCAGGTGTTCAGTGAGGTGTTGCATGCAAGGTGTGTTTGTGTGCTTTTCAAATAGCGGTCCCACAGTGCATATTATGTGGTCATCCGACATATTATTATAAATCCTCAATGATCTATTCTGAGGCAACAAGAGTAACACTGCCATTTCCAATTCTGATAGAACCCCTAACCTTAAATTGTCCATCACCTTCAGCCGGGTCTCTCACTCAATTAGATCTGAATTAGGATGCAGACATGTATTAAAATAGTCAGATTTTAGCTTCAGAAAGCAAACAACCCCCTCCAAATCTATATTTTTGTTCCTTGAATACCTATTAAAGATACATTTTTATGTATTTTATTGCTAATTGACTTTTAGAAAAAACATTTCCACTGCATCCTTTTTTTCTGCTGTGTAAACACACTTATTGTCCATTTCATTTTACATCAGAAACTGTATATTTGGCCAAAAAAAAGAAAAATACTGCTTCTACCAGTTTCTAGATGGAGTGTGATTTAAGTCCTGCATTTTAAGACTGAAGGTAACTGACCTAATCTCTCAATTTTGTGTGGTCCTGCCACATGTGATGTCCACTTTTGCTTTTGTTTATAGAAAAATATAGAAGTATTTCTTCCTTTGTTTTGAAATCTTCTTAACGTTGAATACGGTCAACATTATTTACTTTCAGAAAATATTGCCTTGTTATGTGACTGGATCCATAATATGGTGCGGTATCCTTTCCCATGTGTTTGTTCAGACACTGGTCAGAGAAAACAACTCAGCCGCAAATGCAGTTGACAGTGTTGACTGCTGCTTGGTAGCAGTTACAGCCACTTAAAGGTAGTGCCTTTTAGTGGTTAGTTCAAGTTAATTGAACCCTTGGGGGTTCCAGGGTACTCTTCCCAGCTCCCTGTTACTTTGTCATGTAGCCATGATTAAGCCAGCCAGTGTCTGTGCTTGAGTTACTCCTTTGCAAAATGATGCTTTTTATGATTATGAAACAGCACAGATTGAGGATTAGAGGGTTAGACAAGGAAACCCAAGAGCTTCACCTGAGATCAGCCATGCGTGGTGGTGGACACTCTGCTTTCTGTTTCTTAGCATCATCCACAGGGAAAAATGGGAGAAGTTTTCCTTTTCTCTGTCTATAGGGCACCTCGTGATATATAACAGTAACCACTAATCAGCTGCCATCAAGTCAGGTTTGACTCATGGCGCCCCTGTGTGTGTCAGAGTAGAACTGTGCTCCATAGGGTTTTCAATGGCTGACTTTTTGGAAATAGATTTCCAGGCCTTTCTTCCAAGGCACCTCTGGATGATTCTGGGTGAACCTGAACCTCCAACTTTTTGGTTAGCAGCCAAGTGCGTTAATCATCTGCACCACCCAGGGACTTTTTATTAACAATAAAGCTCTAAATATTTTAGATACTCTGAGAATATGAATTGACAGTGATTCCAGAGGATACTGGAGAAACTTGATTGTTTATAGTGGATTCTTGTATTTCCTGATAAATCATTGTGGATTGTAAAAGTTGAATCCTGGTATCTGGTTAATTTTTTCCTTCTTTATATGCAGTGTTAATGTACCGGGGTGAGGCTCTAGAAGATTTCACAGGCCCAGACTGTCGATTTGTGAATTTTAAAAAAGGTGATCCTGTGTATGTGTACTACAAACTGGCAGGGAGATCGCCTGAAGTTTGGGCTGGAAGTGTAAGTAAAAATTCGTCATACCTTATTTCCGTACTTTTATCAGCTTGTTTAGCACTGTAGATTTAATTAACTGTGTTTTCTTGGGGTGTTTGGGAGGGGTTAACCCATCCTCTCTGCTAGACTGAAAAAAGAAGATGACTCTGTGTCCCCAGTAGACTTCAGACCTGGCAGAGAGTAGGGCTCAGCAAAGGTTTCTTCAATAGAATTGAACTGGTTTTGGCTATTGCCCCTCAGCGGCAAGTTCTAGGTCTTCCCAGCCTTGGGTGTTCCACACATATTAAAGGTTGCAATGGCGAAAACCTGAAAATTCTTAATTTCATCGCTTCAAAAAGGAAGGAACTCTTCTTTAATAGGATTCACGGGCATTAGACTTACTCCTGTAAACTGTGTGCAAGGTAATGTTTCAGGCATGCAAGTTTAGAGTTGATTTAATGTGTGTTACTTTTATTTTCTGTAACTACATTATTAATATTTGGGAAAAATTGGGAATACCGTTACCTAATCGTTTGTGCTATTAGTCATGTGTTAGAAAAGCAAAATGCCATTTTCGCGGTGTGCTTAGCTGTTTGTTGGCTTTTAGCAACTTCTGGGTTGTCCTTTTTTGCTTTTCAGACACCTGTTCCTGGAGGGTCCTCAGGTGCTCTATTTCCAGCTAGTTTCATGGATGCCCTGATATCAGACTTGGAAATTAGCGCAGGTTCATGCTTTGATGTTTGTAATGAGGAGACTCACTCAGAGTGGCCTGACCGAGAGGCTTATGAGTTATTGACTTTTCCTTTTTAATAGGTCTGGCGTGTGGGCTGTTAAAGTAGGAAGGGTCCTTAATGACCTTTAGGTTGTCCAAACAGAGGGATACCCACTCTCAACGGTGTGAGTTTTCACTCTCAAGGGAGCACCAAACAAACAGCAGAAAATAAGGCTGGAGATACCCCCATATGGAAAAATAGATTCATTTTGTTGGCACTCTAGATTCCTAGGGAGGCATCTAGAAAAGTCAGGTGGTCAGTTCCAACAACCCTTGTCTTCATACAGAATCCCTGTTGAATCACACCACACAAAGAAGAATCTATTCTGTTTCTTTCAAGTCTGTCGAACAAGATTTCTTGATAATCTTTATCTTGGAAATTATCTTCCTTGTACCAAGGCTGCATTTTTCATCTAACAGTTAAGTTCTTTTTCTCTGCCTCATCTTTGAGCATTTGGATAAATGAACTCAATGTAAATTTTCCTACTACCAAAATTTTTTGCTCATGAAATCTGGAAATCCTGCCTGTTTGAGTCCTAACTCTTATCCTGCCTTCTTGGGGAAACACTGCTTTCAGCACCCATCTTTATTGTCGGACAATTGTTTAGGTGGCACTTTGTGGGCATTGCTTATGTGGCATTCACTTTTACTGCCTTGCATTGCAATTAGTTTGTTTCTGTGTAAGGAGCCTTAGTGGTACAGTGGTCAAAAGTTCAAATCCACCAGCTGCTCAGAGGGAAAAAGATGCTGCAGTCTGCTTCTGTAAAGATTTACAACCTTGGAAACCCTATAGGGTTGCTCTGAGTTGAGATCAACTTGACAGCAGTGGGTTTGGTTTTGGGGAGGGGTGCGGTTTGTTTATGTGTCTTAAACCAATTGCCATCAAATCAATTCTGACTCATGGCAACCCTATGTGTTATAGAGTAAAACTGCTTCATAGGATCTTCTTGGCTGTAATCTTTCCGGAAGCAGACTGACAGGCCTTTCTTCCATGGTACTACTGGGTGGGTTCAAATTGCCAACCTTTTGGTTAGTGGCCAAGCACAAAACCTTTGCCCCACCCAGAGACCTTTAGCTCCCTATAAAGTTAAAAACTCTATAACGGAAGGGACCATGTCTTATAGGGTAAGGACCCTTATTTATATTTATCTTGATAGTAACGTAGAATTGTTCTCTTGAGGCAATGTTCTGCTTTTTTCACATCAAAGCAACTGTTGCTTGGTAAGGATGCTATACAGGAGCAAAATCAAGCATTGAATGGATAGTTGGACATAAAGATAACTTTGATTCATGAGGGCCCATGATCCTGCCACATTTTTTTGTGAGACCATAAGAACTGGGACACCACCCAGTTTATAAATACGGAGTTTTATATGAACTGTGGTCTCAATGGACAAAGATTAGATGAAGATAAATGTATTTCCTTTCTCCAGATATCTCTGATTCCTCTTCCTTCTCTAGAGTCTCCTTAATAAAATTTTCTCCAGAAGGGAAAGTATATTTTCCTCAGTTTTACCTCTCATTTTTTGAACTTCATGGTTTAGGAAATTAACAGTTCTCTCTCATTAGTTTTCAAAATGATTCTCCTTTCTGTGTCTTAAGCCTTTTTTGGTTTCTAAGAGTTTTAGACTTGAACTTTTCATTGCACTGTCTTATCTAATCTTCATGACAGTATTCTACTACTAATACTGGCTTTCAGATAGTGGGCAGAAATAACAAGAGCACTCATGAATGGGGATATTTTATGGTTAGTGATAAGATGGGTGCTTTTTCTTTTTGTGCATTTGATCCATGTATCAGTCTCCTTTTTTTAATGATTGGGAAGAGGTCTACCCTGCCTTTCAGATGGTAGCTAGTAAAAGACAGTATATGTTTCCCAAGAGGACACTTTCTACCTTAGTTGTTAGTGCTGGAGATGAATGGGGTTATTTTCTATAGAGGTTTTAATTTGCATGAAGCTGTAGCTTGGCGTGTAGATTCGTATGAATTACATGGCAGTTTTATTTTCCCTCAAAATACTTGTAAATGTTGTTTTTGAAAAAGATAGTATAGCATCTAATATCAAGAAATACTTGCTTTTGTTGCAGTGGTAATATGTTTCAGAAATTTTATATTCTTTTTACTTATTACTTTCCATGGCTGTTTACTGGTTTCAGAAAGATTGTAAGTACTGAGCAATGCAGTGAGGTATACAGGTAAATTCTCACTAGAGGTTATTTGGAATTGTGGTTCTCACCAGCTGTGATTTGCATAGTTTTAATTAAATACCATACAATAATCATCTTTTATGCAAATCTTTTATCTATTTTAAAGTCTAACATTTTGTGCCCTGTGCTTAGAATTAAGCTGAATATTGAAAAAAAACTTCAATTTTTGAAACATTGGTTTCACAATAGTATGTACTTAATCTTTATAGGAATAATAATCCCAGTATGACTATAATAGCAGCTATCTATCTCAGTTATATCTACCTATCTATCTAGCTCTACATTACCCCTCACTACTAACAAGTCTCTCATTTATATTTTTCATATAGAATTTTGATTGATATGTGTCCCTTTTACCCATTCTTTTGTATAGGTTGGGCGTATTTTTGGATATTTTCCAAAGGATTTAATCCAAGTAGTTCATGAATATACTAAAGAAGAGTTACAGTTTCCAACAGATGTAAGTCATCCATTTGTTTTTGTTCTCAATTATAAATTAGCTTATAAATTCATTGGTTAAATTCATGTAACTATTTTTGAAAGACTTTGAATGTTTTGTTTTTTGTTTTTGTTTTTCTGGTCAGGAAAAGAGCCCTGGTGGCACAGTGGTTAAGCACTCTGCTGCTAACTAAAAGGTCAGCAGTTCAAACCCACCAGGCGCTCCGTGGGAGAAAGATGTGGCAGTCTGCTTCCGTAAGGATTTACAGCCTTCAAAACCCTATGAGGCAGTTCTACTCTGTCCTATAGGGTCACAATTGAGTCAGAATCATCTCGATGGCAATGGGTTTGGGTTTGGTTTCAGTCTAATGGTTGTGCATCAGATTTTAATTTAGGACAAAACTACCTTAAGAAAGAAAGAAAGGAAGGATGGAAGGAAAGAAGGAAGGAAACATTTGAAAAGAATTTAAAGGAGACTAGGTCATAATCAGATAGTTATCTAGTATATTGAACTGCATGTTCTTATACCAGGCTGTATACTCATACAGGGCTTTTCTTTGCTACTTTATATTTGAAAAAATGAAGAATTCAGTATCTTTGTTTCTAGTTATTAAGTTTAAGAGGTAAATAAGCTCTTTTTGTAAGCAAAAGGCATTGTCCCAATTTGAAAACTACTCACCGAATAACCGTTAGACATATTAAGTATTTATAAATCATGATAAATAAATCAAAGCATAAATTATATACTAGGCTAGAAGTGTAACCCTATTATGGACTCTTTAGTGATTTAAGGGATTATAGTTATATTATAGATTTGGAAGGAGCCCTGGTGGCACAGTGGTTAAGAGTTTGGCTGCTAACCAAAAGGTCGGCAGTTCGAATCCACCAGCTGCTCCTTGGAAACCCTATTGGGCAGTTCTCCTCTGTCCTATAGGGTCGCTGTGTGTCGGAATTGACTTGATGGCAACAGGTTTGGTTTTGGTTTTACAGATTTGGAAAAGGGAGCCTGAGAGTTTCAGGTGAGATCCAGTCTCAAATCTGTAAGGTTCTGCCTACATTCCATAAAGCATTCCTCTGTGGTACACGGACTTAAAGCAGCTCTGTAACTAAAAGGATTTTGTGTTCTGGGATCCTCATTCCAGCTGATTATTTCCTGGGTTTTAAAGTTTATAATGGTTGATATTTCACTTTCATTCAGCCACCTCCGAGGGCTCTTTGTTTGGAGTTGCTGTAGAGCGTGCTCGCTGCTGGCCTAGGCAGATCTTAGATGAGACTGGCAGAATAGATGAGGCCTCCGAATTATCTGCTCTTCTTACAGTTTCCCCTTGGTAATCTAGAGCATCATAAAATCAGCCCTGTTGCCTGTCTGACCTCACTGCTAATGAAGAGACTGCCCAGGATATAAGTTGTGAGGCAGCAGGTCCTGGGTCACAGAAACCTCACCTGTTTGGGATTCTGCCTTCTCACTAACACTCTCACTGCATGCTCCCTCAACCTTAAGAAAATGACTTGGCAATGCATGTGACTGAAAGAGGAAATCATTCATCCCTACTCCACTGGGCAGGTCTCCCCAGAATATAGTGAGGCTTTACTTAGGGGAAGAAAATGATCTTTGTTAGTTTTTAACTTTTCCCTCAATCTATAGCTTTTCCGTTTTTTGAGCCCATCTGTTTATTAGTGGAGGCAAGGAAGAATATAGATTTACAGACCAGTCCTGACAGCAGACTGTAGTGATTACCCAGAACCCTGGTTTAGATTAGGGTATATCCTTAACTTAATCTTGTTTTCCAGTTGTTCTTGTGGTCATAATTAAGCAGGGAAGCCTCTTTGAGACCATTCTTTGTCCCTTTAAATTTTTGCTTCCCACATACCTGTATCTCAGTAAGTTACTTCTTAAGCTGATTGATCTTTCCCAATCAGGGGAAATCGTGAGCCAGAAATCCAGGTAGAATTAGAGACTGAGAGCTGGGCGAGCAGAGTAGAGTCTAGAGGGCACAGTGGCCGAGAAGCTGGATGATCTTTCATCTTCTCCTGGGCAGATTATTGTGACAGAACATCAGTTGTAGATGTTGGGAGTTGGGGCACCCGACAAGTGACAACCCTCTTTCCCCAACTGTGTGTGGAACAAATTGAGAGACCCAGGTGTCAGGCAGATGGAAACTGAAATGTCACCATTATTAACTAATAAAACTTTTTGGAGAATACGGCTCAATTGTGCAGCAACAGTGGGCTTTCTGACATTGCGATCTATAATGGGACAGACTTACACAGCCACAGACAGAGCTAGCCAACTGGGGGCCTCACTCAAGGGGGGCTGTCCCTGTAAAACTGAGAGCATGAAGAATGGAGGATTTGTGTTCCCTCTTGCCGATAGGCAGGTGCCAAAGAGAAACAAGGGACAGGCTCAGCAAGCCCACCAGCCATACAAGTCATTCCTCCCTGGGGAAGAGAGAATGAGGGAAGCCGGGAGCACCACTCCCGGAATGGAAGCAGGAAGCCAGACAGAAGTGGATTCCAGCCTCTGATCCTCTCACTGCTCAAGAACAGTCATCACCTAAGGTTGGCACAGGAGCCGTGGGAGAGCCAAACAAGAATTTGGGTTATCCCCATCATGCGCATGGGTAAGAGTTTACTCTGTGATGCATGGTTAGTGACACACTAATAATGGTTTTCTTTCCCTTACAGGAGACAGATTTTGTTTGTTTTGATGGAGGAAGAGATGATTTTGATAATTATAATGTAGAAGAACTTTTAGGATCTTGGGAACTGTATGACTCTGCAACTGGAGATTCTGAGAGAACCATAGAAAAAACTTCTCAGCACATGAAAGAGCCTCTTGAAGTATCTGAGGAAAGTGACCCTGAACCTGAACCCAAAGAAGCCAACTTAGAGGAAGGTGAAAGTTTATTCTCTGAAGACCTCAAGGATCTAGAGGAAAGATTTGAGGTTCGGAAGAATCACCCTCATGCAAACAGTCAAACAGATAACGCTCAAGGAGAGCAATCTTCATTTGACCCTTTTGAGGAAATGCTGCAAGAAAAATTAAAAGTGCCAGAAAGTGAAAACAACAAAACCAGCAGTGGTTCTCAAATCTCAAATGAACAGGAGAGGATTGATGCTTATACACTTTTGAAAAAAGAAATGACTATGGACTTGAAAACCAAATTTGGCTCAACTGCTGATGTGCTTGTATCGGATGATGAGACAACCAGACTTGTTACTTCATTAGAAGATGATTTTGATGAGGAGTTGGATGCTGAGTACTACATAGTTGGGAAAGAAGAGGAGGAGAGTAAAGAAGACTTTGATGAGCTACCATTACTAACCTTTACAGATGGAGAAGATATGAAAACGCCCACAAAATCTGAAGTTGAGAATTATTCAACAGATAAAGAGCAGAAGTCCAATGAAGAGGATATGATTGAGGTAGCTCAGCCCCCTGGCATCAAAGATGATAATAAAAATACACTAACCACCTTGGGGGATACTGTCTTCTCTGTTGTCACAGGAAGTGAAGAAAAAACAGGAATGATGGATTTAGAGAGTTCTAATTCAGAGGAAGAAAAGGAAGATGATGTGTTAGTCCCAGATAGCAGATGGGGGGAAGCACAATCAGCAATAGATTCTGTTGACCCTGAAAATGCAGAAGATGGTCTTTTGATTGTAGAAGTCCCTAAAACAAAGGATGACAAAGACCCAGAAATGGACACAGAACTTCACATTAAAGGAAAAGGCAGGAAAGTTCAGGAATCCAGGAGGGGCCTGGTACAAGATGAGACGGAGACTAAGAAGCAGGAAGAGATGACTGTGGATGATACTACTCAAAGCAGGAACCGTCACTCTTCGCTAGCTGCTGAGGAGGGTAAAGAAATGTTAAAATCAGCCTCTGATAACAAAGAAAAGGACCAAAAAGAAGCAGCTATTCGTATCTCAAAGGAAACGCTCCGTGAAGAAAAGCCTGGTGAACGCATTTTGGACGGCGATGCAGAGAGTGAATCTGTACATAAAGCTGCAGGGAATCAAATGAACAAAGAAAAGATTAAACAGGAATCCATGGATATTGCACCACTCGTAGGAGATAATCAGCACAACACATCCAGAGATGGTGTGGAGGAAGGGGATGTTTTGGTAAGTGGACCAGAACCCCATACACTTTCAATGGAGCATCAAGGTGAGGAATTTAAAGAAGAGCTAGTTCTTAAAACTCAAAATCAACCTAGATTTTTCTCTCCAGATGAAATTGGTTTGCCAACAGAACTGGAAGAAGAGGTTCCTGTTCAGGGAAGAAATCTTTCTTGGCAACAAGAAAGGGATGTGGCCGCTGCAGTTAATAAGCACGTGACTGAGAAGAGGAGGCTCTCTGAGGGAGCAATCAAAGAGGACACCTCAGATAAAGGGTCTTTTCATCACAAAGCAATGCAGGGAACACAGGAAGTAGAAAACACAGGCCCCACTGATAGCGCAGAAGTACCAGGTTTCCATACAGAAAAGCCTAAAGCAGAAGATGATGATTACCTCCCTGAAGAACTGCTGGAGGATGAAAATGCTGTAAGTGCAAAACAGTCTAAAGAAAAAAACACTGGGATTCAGGACAGGAGGTTAGATATTAACCTGCAAGCCCCTGAAAGAGCTATTTTAGAGACCACTAATCCTGATCCAGCAACTGGAGAAAACAAAGTAGAAACAGGTATGAATTTAGAGACTGAAAGAAAAAGTGCAACTGTGGCCAAAGGGGAGGGTACACTAGACAGGGGACCAGCTAGTATGGAGGTGGAGAAAGAAGAAAGCTCTCTTGTAGATAAGAAAACACGCAGACCGTCTGAAGTAAGTGACTTTCCTGACACACAAAAAATACAGACTCCAGAGTTAGGTAAAGTGTTTCAGAATAAAGATTCTGATTACCTTGAAGAAGACAACCCTGGGGAACAGCCAAAGACCTCAGGATTTGCAGAGAAGCCTGAGGTAGAAGAACTCTCAAAAGAGGACCATGAGGCTTTACAGAAATCCATGGACCCAGAAAGCCAGTGGTCTGCTTCTGAAGAACTTGAAGATGACCTGTTCCATTGGGCTTCACATACAACTGTGAAGCCAGAACACACTGACAGTGAAAAGGACTTGCCTATAATAAGGAGCTTTTTTAAAGAACAGCAGTCTTTGCAGCGGTTCCAGAAGTACTTTGATGTCCATGAGCTGGAAGCCATGTTCCAAGAAATGTCATTAAAGCTGAAGTCAGCTCAACAGGAAAGCCTGCCTTATAATGTGGATAAAGTCCTAGACAAGGTCTTTCGTGCTTCTGAGTCACACATTCTGAGCGTAGCAGAAAAAATGCTTGATACCCGTGTGACGGAAAATAAAAATCTGGGAATGAAGGAAAATAATATATTTGAAGAGGCTGCAGTGCTGGATGATATTCAAGACCTGATCTATTTTGTCAGGTACAGACACTCCACAGCAGAGGAGACTGTACTGGCGGCAGTGGCACAGCCTCCAGAGGAAGGCCGGGATGGACCTATGGAAGGTAAGGTACCTGCCTGTGGCCTTACAGAGTTGGGCTTGAGAAACAGGGTTGGGGCAGGGGGCTTCACTGAACTACCTCATATCTTATTTGTAAAGCCCTGTTCACAGTTTACAGGGTGCATAAAGGAGAGCGACACCAGAATGAAGTCTGCGTGTCTCTTCCTGGCTTCTTTCTTTCAGGCTGGAGCATGGATAAAAATTTACCCTGTTTTCCTTAGGACAGTTGAGATTGGCTAGCATTTTCACAGCGAACCTCTTCTAAAAAGCTAAAGAGAAAGAAAGAAACAGGAATACATGGCACGAAGTAGAGCTGTGAGCGAAGTACAGATTTCACGAATAGTTACGAAAGGGCTTTATTGAACACAATTTCTTAATCATTAAATAACTGCTCTTTAGCCCTGTTGGCACAGTGGTTAAGATCCACGGCTGCTAACCAAACGGTCAGCAGTTCAAATCCACCAGCTGCTCCTTGGAAACCCTATGAAGCAGTTCTACTCTGTCCTGTAGGGTCACTATGAGTCGGAACTGACTCGACGGCACCTAACAAAAACAACAACCCAGACTGACTGGTATAACTTTTAAATAGATGCCTTGCTTGAGTTCCTTTATTCCTCCCAACTTTTCATCTTTTGTGGATGCCATGTTCTTTCCTGCTTCTTGGGAGTGCTTACTCCAGTTAAACTCTTCTGGGCCCCAGGTTCTTTCGTTCAGATTAATCAAGGCTGGAACCAGGATGAAGGCCCTTCTAACATAGCACTCGACACTTAGAAGGCATTTGGTAAATATTTACTGAGTTGACCCCAAGCTGGTATCCCAACATAAACCTTCTGATTCCTGGTTCCATGCTCTATTCTCTATTCCTATGCTTTTGAAACTGGGGTACCTGAACTGAGGGTACATGGTAGAGTACCAGGGAAGACATAAAGCCACAGGATACATGTATCGCATCTTCCCAGAGGGCCACTTTTTCCTGATAATTTGGGGAGGGGGCATATTTACATTTATTCGTAGCTGATATATTTTGGATTAGAATGCAAAATTCAGATGAGTTTTCAGGCTAAAATATGAGGTTGCAAAGAAATTTATCTTTGCTGTGGGTGGTGCAATGGTTAAGAGTTTGGCTGCTAACCAAAAGGTCGGCAGTTCAGATTCACCAGCCGCGCCTTGGAAACCCTGTGGGGGCAGTTCTAGTCTGTCCTGTAGGGTTGCTATGAGTCAGGATCGACTTGACAGCAATGAGTTTTTTTTTATGGGTCTCCGTGAGGGAGCCCTGTGGCGCAATGGTTAAGGCTCAGTTGCTAATCAGAAGGTCAGCAGTTTGAACCTATCAGTGGTTCCATGGGAGAAAAGATCTGGCGATCTGCTCCTGTAAAAATTACAGCCTAGGAAAGCCTGCGGGGCAGTTCTGCTCTGTCACACAGAATTGATGGCATACAACAACATGGGTCTCCTTGGCGACGCCCTGGGCCTGATAGGGATGGTTTACTCTTTTGGCTCTTAGAGTTACTTTGAAAATACTCAGAAGTCACTTCATCAAGCTGTGTTTGTGTGTAATGACTCTCTCTGTACTAGCTCTGTGAGTACAGGCTTTATGTATGAAAGAGTTGACGCTATTTCTGTGTGTAAAGTAGATGTTTCATATTTCTGCTCTTGACTAGAGTTCTCTTTTGCACATTTATCCATGTGGGCATATATTGGTTTGCCAAGGGAAGTTAAATTATTCAAGTCCCTAACGTAAGTACATTTATTTATGGAAAAAAGACTCCAGGATGACACCCAGTTTAAAGGGCGAGCATGGGGCCTGGGTTCGCGGTACCTCCCTGGCCCTCCTTAATGAATGAAAAAGTGTGAACGGCACGCCAACAATTTGGAGCCCTGGTGGTGCAGTGGTTAAGAGCTCAGGCTGCTAACCAAAAGGTCGGCAGTTCGAATCTGCCAGTCGCTCCTTGGAAACCCTATGGGACAGTTCTGTTCTGCCCTATAGGGTTGCTGTGAGTCCAGATCGACTCCATGGCACACAACAATAACATGGGAAGAAAGGTATCTTTGTACATTTTATTAGGTAGATTAGCCGTCTCTGAAGTGGAATAAAAGAAATTGAAACTATTTCCCTACACAGCTGTGCTTCTGGAGATGCCAGTAACGTGGAGGACAGTCTGGTGTTGCCCTGGAGCTGTACAGGGTGGGGGCACTGGCCAGTGGGATGAGGGGTTGTGTCATCAAGCTTTGCTAGCCCAGTGCATCCCTCTCACCTGTAGAGATACAACCGCCACGTGAGGATAATTTCCCACCAGGGAGCACAGAAGATCTTAAAATGCAGGTTGCTGAAGAGCCTGGCCACTTGGGTCAACCCATGACTGGTGACCCAGCTGCCTCAGAAGTGACTAGTGACCTAGCTGCCTCAGAAGTGACTGGTGACCCAGCTGCCTCAGAAGTGACGGGTGACCCAGCTGCCTCAGAAGTGTCACAGACACCAAATACTGAGAAAGATTCAGACCCAGGTAAAGCTTGCTCATTTTTGTCTGCGAAGTCGAGGCATAGCATAAATAAGACCTTCCAGGAGACTTAATGTCAAAGGTAGGAAATGGAGGGAAAAGTAATACAGGTATATACCAGTTTTTTTTAAAAAAATCCCAGAATGAATTGAGAGAAAACCTGGAGTTAAGCCAGGTAGAGATTAAAAATAGGAAAGAGGCCAGAGACCACAGCTAACCAATGTTTGGGTATCGGTGCCTTGTGTAAATAATTTTAACCTAAAACATTATTCTTAAAAGGCCTTATGCTCTAACACAGTCATTTTAAACTAGACCAACAGCATCAGCATCACATGGGAATTTTAGAAATGCAGATTTTCCCACCTCCCGAATCAGAATCTCTGGGTGGAGCCCAGCAATCTGTGTTTAACGAGCCCTCCAGGAAATAATGGTACAAGTTGAAGCTCGAGGACTACTGTACTAAAGCTCACTGATGCTGTGCTTTCCACCCCGCCTTCCCGTGCCGCCATAGAATGCAGTGCAACTCAGTTCTTTTCGTTTTTCTTTGCTACTTAGACATGTTAAATACTCAGGTATTTTTATGCTAGTAGTCCCTGGGTGGTGCAAATGGTTAAGCTCTGAACTAGAAGCAGAAAGGTTGGTGGTTTGAATCCACCCAGAGCCTCCTCAGGAGACAGGCCTAGCGATCTGCTTCCAAAAGGTCGCAGCCTTGAAAACCTTATGGCGCAGTTCTGCTCTGCACATGTGGGGTCACCCTGAGTCGAATCGACTCAGCAGCAACCAACAACAGTCTTTATACTGTAAGATAATAGGAAACAGCAGAGAACTTTACAGTGTGAAATAGTCCACTGTGGGCTGACACTGTCAGCAGCACTTGATCGCAGTGCACAGGAAACACCTATGGGGAGAGCATCTCATTTGATTTGATTTGAGAGGGTTGTTTATTAACCATTTTAAAAAAGACATACAACCTCGATGCTGCTATCAGAAGCTTGCTAATCTTTGTGTACCTCATTCTCATTATACCAGTAAATCAGCAGAACAGCTGAGCGTGTTGTTATTTTTGTCTGTCTAATATGGTGACAGGATAACATCATTACTATTTTTCGCGTTTTCTAGAGGTTGTGGTCTATAAGCAGTAACATCTGCAAGGCTCGGCAGCACTGAGCTGACACCCGCCCCCCCCGCCCCCCCCCGTATCAGAAGTCACAGCAGGGAGATGAATTCAGCTAATTTGAGAAGGAATGACAGTATCAGAGGTGTCCCACGCTCCAGAGGCCATTGCATTCATATATAAAGTCTCTGCTTCTCATCATTTTTAGCTCATAAAACATTGGTGCTTGTTGAAGATGAGTCATGCACTTTTTAAGGCTTGTTATTCTCTTGCCTAAAAACTCTGAGGATTAGGAAAAATTCCGCTTACATAATTAAAAACAAATTCTTTGCCCTGTCATTTAAGGTCCACCACAAAATGGCCTAAACGACTTTTACAGGCTAATCCTCTCAAATGTCCGTACATGCATCTTAGGCACTTTTCAGGTGAGACTCCTGGCTGTCCACAAAACGTGCCCCAGACTCATGAGCCATGCTGAAATCTCCTCCCTAGCACCTCAGGTTGAAATGCTTTAAGGTGTGTATACCTAGAATTTGACCTCTTTCACAGAGCCGCCAAGCCAGGCCCTCAGCTCTAGGCAATTAATTCCCTGTGGTCTCTCTTGGCATTTACCATGTTCTCTTCCCTGTAGGGTCACTTGTCCACTCTGTTAATAATTATTTAGTGCCTGTCACATTCCAGACACTGTGCTGGGCACTGGAGCATTCCACCTGCAAGTCTGCAAACTGAGGCTCTTTTCCTCATGGTTTTCCTGAGGTTTCTACTGTAACTGCTTCAGCAACACTCAGTAAATGTTTGTTAAATGTGACTGTGTCTACGTGGAAAAAGCATAAAATTCCATTTTTCTCAATTCCCACGAGCAAATATTGTTCGGATAGCAGTTTCATTGCCAGCGAGGTGATGCAGAGGGTTGGTGGGGGGCAGGGAGGTTGGAAGTTATTTTTACAGTTGAAGGATAAAATGGCTCTAATTGGGATTCTGAGTTTTTTTCTCTATATAAGTGTCTTTAGGAGAACCACACTTGTCAGGCACAGTGACTGATACTTAGTGGCATTCAATAAACATTTTAATTGAAGGGAAACAATTCTTTTTCTAAAATATAAAATAAAACATCAGTTTTTCCCCCTCACTTTTAGGGATAATTACAGCAGAAGGCACTCCAGTTGATGGAAAAAAGCAACTAGAAACAAATGCTGAACAGCCAGCCAGTGCTACACCTCTCGAAAATGCACTTCGTTTAATCTATTCCTTCATGTTTCATTTAACTAAGACGGTAAGTTTGATATAGTTTCTTCAGATAGGATGTTGATTATTATAGTTTTTATGTTGATGTTGAGCATGGGGTGAAGAATGTAAAATGTCTTTCTGAAAATTACCCCTCGTCCTTTCAAGATAGTCTCTGATATACGTAGGTGTATGGCTTTTATGGTTTCTTAGTTCAGTTTAGCACGCACTTGAGGATTTGCTGTGTGCCAGGCTGGGCATTTCACACCTGTTAAACGTGGTTCTCCTCTCAAGGACCTCTCAGTCTAGCAAGGAGATAAAGACATTCACTTGAAATGTAATGGGATAGAGGCAGAAATAGAAGTGGTTACCTGAGGGTAGAAGAATACATTGAATACATTGATTCTCTGTGGTGAGGGGATACTCAGGGAAGGTCAGAAGAAGTAACCTGAGATATGTTTTGAGCAGAGAGTTGAAGAACAAATGGAAGTTTGATGTGTCGTTTCTTGCTGAATAGAAGGGCTGTGGGGGTGGCGGGGGCGGGGGGAGACAGAAGAAACAGCATGTGCGGAGAAATGAAGGCATGAAATAAAAAGGTTATCTGGGGAAGCATGAGTAGCTGGTGGCGTTAAAGTGTAGATGGAGTTAGAGGGGGGTGGTCTGCTGGAGGGAGGCAGGAGCAAATTAAAAAGGACATAAAAACAAAAACTGAACCCATGCCATAGAGTTGATTCTGATCCATAGCGACCATATATGTCATGGTAAATGATGTTAGACTGTAAGGGCTGAGGATCTTTTGAAAGTTTTAAGCAGGAAAGTGATATGGTCAGATTTGTTTCATAGAAACTGAGCCACTTTTGGCAGAATATTCATTCAGATTTATCTTTCTAAAGAGAGCCAGGATCCAAATGAGACATTTATTCTGCTTCTAAGTTTATCTAAACTTTTTAGGACTTAGCTCCCTCTTGTGGTATTTTTTGAAATTGGACATTTTCTTGGTAAATTATAAGAGTGGGCAAGCTTTTAAAAGTTGGAGGCCAAGCTGCCCTTGGGGCCACAGAGAGAGTATTCTCGCCAACAAAAATGTTTTTTCTCTAGGTTCAGTTAATTCAAGACTTGTGTGGGACAAAGTTTTTTGTTGGTTAGTAAAATGCATGGGATTTTGAGCCAGGAAAATCTGGTTTCAAATCCCAAATCCATTCTTTAGAAGCTTGTGTAAATTACTGAACATTGTACCTCAGCTTCCTAATCTGAAAAATGCAGATAATACCTACTCTAATTGTAACAAGAATTAAATGAATTGAAATCTATGTATAAAGTGCCTAGAATGGCACCTGGCATTTTGTGGGCTCTCATCCCCTGCCTGCTTCTCATCTGAATGGTCAGAGGGCAGTATAAAGACACTGAATACTTGGGGAACTCAGGAGAAAGGCCACCAGGATGGGTAAGATGCAGGAAAGGCAAACCAGTTTTCAGTTTTCTTCATGGTCACGGTGATGCCAGCCACCCAGGTGAAGATGTATTTGATCTGCATAATTAGAATAATGAAATTTTCAGTGACTAAATTCTAGTCTCAAAATTAGGAATCTGATTATCAGAATGAATCATTATCACTTTAAAAAATTTAATGTCTTCTAGATGTGGAAGGAATTCTTTATTTATTGTGTTCCTAGATGCGCACAAAGCCCCGTTCTAGGCCTGGGTTGGGGGATGTAAATGTATAGGATATGGTCTCTGATTTGGAGGAAGATGGGGAAAGACACAAACATGAATGGCAAGAGAAAAAGACAATGTTACAAAGTGTTGATTTGGGTTGTGCTAGGAATACTAGGTTACGGTTTATAGACCGTCGTTCTGACTTTTTTATGGGTTCTGTTGTGGTGGTATTTACTGTATTTTAGTTTGGTTTATGTTTTCTTTCGTTTCTGTGATTTCCTTAATTAGTGGTCTATGTATTTGTTTTCTGGTGTTGTTTTGTAGTGGGGTGCTGACCTGATTGGTCCCTGTCCCTATCGGTTAGTTTTCTATATTAGTTGTTTGTTGTTTCTCGTGGTTTCTTTCGTTTTTTCTCGCTTTTCCCTTGTATTTGTTTTGCTTTCTTCTTCCGTGTTTCAGTAGTTATGAGTCTTTTGTCTCACTGTTTCTTTTTTGTTGCTAGCACAACCCAAATCAACACTTTGTAACATTGTCTTTTTCTCTTGCCATTCATGTTTGTGTCTTTCCCCATCTTCCTCCAAATCAGAGACCATATCCTATACATTTACATCCCCCAACCCAGGCCTAGAACGGGGCTTTGTGCGCATCTAGGAACACAATAAATAAAGAATTCCTTCCACATCTAGAAGGCATTAAATTTTTTAAAGTGATAATGATTCATTCTGATAATCAGATTCCTAATTTTGAGACTGGAATTTAGTCACTGAAAATTTCATTATTCTAATTATGCAGATCAAATACATCTTCACCTGGGTGGCTGGCATCACCGTGACCATGAAGAAAACTGAAAACTGTGTGATTAACCTACAATACAAGGCTGTACATTCCCCCATTGACTGGTTCATTTCTTTATTGACTCCAAATTTTCCTCCGTATGATTTCATTTCTTTGAATCTAACTCTTTTTCTATGTATAATCCTTTAAATATTTGAAGTTAAGCCGTAAGTTTTTAAATGTTTTATCAGGGAATCTTCAAACTTACAAAGGCAGAGAGTATAGTATAATGAACCCATGGGCCCGTCTAATCTGTTATTAAGCCCATCCAGTGAATTTTTCATTTCTGATATTTTTAGCTCTGGAAGTTCCACTCGTTCTATTTTTTGTCTTTCATTCTTCTTATTATGTTCATTTTAAAAAAATTCTTAAGTATATTTTAATGTAATTCTTTTAAAGCCCTTGTATGCTAATTCCACTGGCCCTGTCATTTCTTGGTCTGTTTTTATAGACTGATTTAATCTCCTAGTTATGGGACACATTTTCCTGTATTTTTTGCATGTCTAGTAATTTTTTTTTGGATGCTGGACACTGTGAAAGTTGTATTGTTGAGTGCCGATTTTAGCAGCTTCCTTTATAAAGTGTTGTTTATTTTGCTAGGCTGGTAAGTTACTTGTGGGTCAGCTTGATCTTTCCTACTCTTGTTTTAAGCTTTGTTAGGGATGTGTATAGTTGTCTTTATTCAAGTGTAGTATAGCCCTGCTACTAAAGTATGATTCTTCTGGGGTCTCTCCTGAATGCTTTGGGTATTCAGCAAGGTCACTCCACTCTTACTGGCAATAATACAAACATCGCCTAGCCCTGTGCTAACAATGGGAATTGTTCAGCTTACAGCTTCCTGGTAGTTATGGTTTTCTCCCCTCCTCCAGTAGTCATTCTTTGTTCATCCTCAGAGAATCTGCGCTGCTTGAATTTAGCCCAAGGCTCAAGGGGACCCCCTTGCAGATTTCTGAAACTATTTTTCTTTATTGCTGCCATCTTCCTGGTATCCTTCCTGCATATTTCAGGCACCTCAGTCTGCCTCAGCTCTGATCTCTGGCTTTTCAGTGAGATTGAGATTGCTGTACTTGGCTTGAGTTCTCCCTCCCCAGCTGAGGTCCAGAATGTGCCTACAGGTTCAAACCTCATTTATTTCCCTTCTCTCAGGGGTCACAGTTGTGTGCTGACTGTTTTCTATCTGAAAAACAGTTTTTTCATATATTTTGTCCGGTTTTCTAGTTGTTTACAGTGGGAGGCTAAGTCTCAGAGTAGTTACTTGGTCTATAGATTTTTTCCTTTTATTTTTTCATTGAAGTATATTTAATGAAGAAACAGTTTGTTTGTCTTCTCAGCTGTATCATGGTCTGGATTTTGCTAAGTCCCCATGGTATAGTTTTACATGTTTCTCTATTTATATTTCTAGAAATTGGTAGGCAGATTGGTAGTAAGACACAGATTCAATTTTGTTTAGCAAGAATACTTCATAGGTGATGTGGTGTACTCCTGCCAGGAGGCATTTAATAGCTTCATATCCCTGTTTCTGTGATGTTAACTAGCCATTGGTGACATGGCCTAAATCTGTTAATACATTGTTATGCTTCTGTTAGGTGCCATCTAGTTGGTTCTGACTCGTAGCAACCCTCTGTACAACAGAATGAAACACTGCCTGGTGCTGCACTATCTTCATGATCATTGTTATGCTTGAGCCCATTGTTGCAGCAACAGTGTCAGTCCATCTCGTTGAGGGTCTTCCTCTTTTTTGCTGACTCTACCAAGCATGATGTCCTTCTCCAGGGATTGATCTCTCCCGATAACATGTCCAAAGTATGTGAGACGAAGTCTTGCCATTCTCGCTTCTAAGGAGCATTCTGGCTGTATTTCTTTCAAGACACAGATTTGTTCATTCTTTTGGTAGTCCATGGTATATTCAATATTCTTTGCCAACACCATAATTCAAAGGTGTCAATTCTTCTGTCTCCCTTATTCATTGCCCAGCTTTTGCATGCATATGAGGTGATGGAAAACACGATGGCTTGATTTGGGCACACCTTGGTCCTCAAAGTGACATCTTTGCTTTTTAACACTTTAAAGAAGTCTTTTGCAGCAGATTTGCCCAATGCAGCGTGTCATTTGATTTCTTGACTGCTGCTTCCATGGGCATTGATTGTGGTTCCAAGTACAGTGAAACCCTTGACAACTTCAGTCTTTTCTCCATTTAGCATGATGTTGCTTATTGGTCCAGTCGTGAGGATTTTTGTTTTATGTTGAGTTGTAATTCATACTGAAGGCTGTAGTCTTTGATCTTCATCAGTAAATGCTTCAAGTCCTCTTCACTTTCAGCAAGCAAGGTTGTGTCATCTGCATAATGCAGGCTGTTAATGAGTCTTCCTCCAATCCCGATTCCCTGTTCTTCTTCATATAGTGTAGCTTCTCATATTATTTGCTCAGCACACGGATGGAATAAGGATGGTGAAAGGATACAACCCTGATGCATACCTTTCCTGACTTTAAACCATGCAGTATCCCCTTGTTCTGTTCGAATGACTGCCTCTTGATTTATGTACAGGTTCCTCATTAGCA